TGTTTTCATTTCAAAGAGTTTATTCCATTTTAAACTTGATCTTATTATTGAAGTTTATTAGCATTTCAGAATTGTTGGCATCCTCAACGAGTAAATTCTATTACAATGGCAAAAAACAACACTATAAGAAAAGATAAAAATGTCTAAAAAGCCATATAATTATCAGAATTTGATTTAAATCTTGGAAAGTACAAGTAATAGTGAATGCCTTGTTTAAAATTGCGGATATGCACCTATATTAAGAACAATTTCGTTATTACTATACTTTAATGAGTGTGCAGAGCAATGAAATCTGACCAACTTGTTTAGCTAACAATCCGATGATTCAATCCATGTATTGCAGATAAAACCCATTTCTGCTTTCCAAAGTTCTACTGCTTTTCTTGCTTGGAGGACTAATTTAACCCACTCTGTAAAGAGCCTACAATGTCATAATTGATCGGCCTCGATATTTCGGGCATTATCAAATCCAAAAATGCTTTAATAAAGTTGGATCCTATGATCGACTGAGAAGAAAAACCAAAGCTATACATTCCAGAGAAACAAACAGAATTTTGAGAGGAACGAATTTTTGTTTTGTTCAGCTTAGTTTACAAAGAATTCTTGAACGCTTTTATACTAAAAATAATCCACGTTGGCAATCCGTGTGACTCTTACAGATTTACAAAGAAACACAAACTGACTGCCTTTTAACGTTGACCACATCTCTAGTCTTGCTGAGCTGCAGTTGAATAAACCTAAAAACTCTGTAGCTTCAATCTGAAAGTGTTGAGTTCGTGACTTGTGGAGCTTCATCTGTATACTAAACTGCACCGTTTCACGAGAAAGGATTATGCCACTTAACAAAAACTTGTTAATAAAACCGTTGAGCAATAAATTTTTAAAAACAAAACTTTGAATATCAACTAAAGCCTCTTCAACAAAAACTGTTGCAGCCGCCGTTAATAGAACCGTCGAGCAGTGAATTTTTGAATATGAATCTGGAAATTTGGATAAGAACGGAAAGAACAGAGCTCCCTGTCTCCTTTCTGTTTTGCTACGGATCCCGTAACATCAAGGATTCCTCCATTACACTTGAGCTTTATATTTGAGTTCTTCCTATTTAGGCCCCATTTTCGACATGGATTCATCCCAAAAGAATTTATAGCTTTGGACGTATCAAACGCAGGAATTATAGATCACATTTCTAGTAGGTCTTGGAAATTTTGTTCACGATTTAGTTATTTAAATCTCTCTCACAACCAAATTCGTGGAAAAATTCAAAACTAAAGTGAGTTTGTTTATCTCGATTCACGTGACTTGAATTCAAACAATCTATACGTCCATTGCCTCTTAATATCTTCCACTCCTTGATGTAGCTTTCCAACAACAACTTATCAGGATCCATTTTCAAATTTTTGTGTCATAGGATGAATAAGTCATGTGAAATACGGATTCTTGAAAACTTCAATCTTACATTTAGGTAACAATAAATTAATGGGTAACATTCCAGCTTTCATGGGAAATTTAACATCACTTGAATCACTTCACCTTCAAAAGAACAACTTTTATGGAACAATACCTATATCACACAAAGCAACCAAGTTAAAACTTAAAAGTGCTTCATATAAGTGAAAAGGAGTGCCGTGATGGTCATGAAGTATTGTGCCAGCATCGAACTTTCTTATGGTACAAACTTTCATGGTGGGTATTATTTTGAGGGTGCAAGCATTGTGATAGTAGGGGAAATGACTGAATATAACACTATTCTTAATCTTGTAAGAAGTATAGACCTTTTCATAAACAATTTCTCTGGAGAGATTCATGATGAAGTAACAAATCCTGAAGCATTGCAAACATTGAATTTGTCGAATAATTCTCTTACTGGAAGAATTCTTGGAAGCATCGATGCTATGACATCCATAGAATCCATGGATTTCTCTGGAAATCAGCTATTTGGTGAAATCCTGTCCAATATTTCAAACTTAACATATTTAGTCATGTGAATTGTCCAACAACCACCTCACTGGGAGGATTCCTTGGAGCATATTATAAATTTAGGAATCAGATATTATATACTGTATCTCAATCTCAAAACAAACCACAGTTTGGAGAATAGAATTTGGAATATGGATATAAATAATAAGCCAAACGCACCCCTTAATATTTGTTTGGGTTAAATTTTATGAATGGGTCGAAAGAGTTTATTTAAAATCATAATTATTTTTTGAATTTATTTAAGTTATTTAGTTGTTTAAACTAAGAGAAATTAGTTCTCATTTCCGTCAATAAATTCTAAAAAAAATTTGGCCCTATAACTATTGTAAGTCTTTGAAAAAATTGTGATGTGAACGTTGTAATAAAAGCACTTTTCGTTATCTTAAATTTCTAAGATATCTTACGATGTTCTTTTCTTTTGAAGAAGACAAGAAAAAAACAATAATTTCTAAAAAAAAAATAGATTTTTTATGAGACTTTTCGTTAGGTAATCACCATTTTCTATATGATAGTGATGATGATCCTTCCTTCACTTCAAAGTATAATTTACTCTAGAAAAATAGTAAGAAAATTAGTTGTTGATGAGATTTCTCTCTAGGCAGTCACTAATTCTTACATATAAAATGTTAGTCTTCTTAAAATATAGACGTATCATTTATTGTTCAGGCTTATTAGAAAACACTGTAAATTAATATTGTGACTCATTCTCACAAAAAATGGAAAGAAGAATCTATGAAGCAACAGTAGTGGGGAATGCAATTCCTTGCTTAACTTGCTTCAAGAGGATGCTCTAATTGTTGATAGAATTACTGTGAGCTGTTACGGAGAAACACCTTTGCACATAGCTTCCATGCTTGGTCATGCAGAATTTGTGCAGGAACTTCTTGGTCGAATGCCTGAGCTTGCCGGAGAGCTTGATTCCTGTAAATCATCACCACTTCACTTAGCAACTTCAAAAGGGTACTTAGATATAGTTAAAAAATTGGTATCGGTTAATCCTAAAATGTGCCTTGTTCGTGATATGATGGAAAAAAACCCAGCACATATTGCAGTCATTAAAGGTCATGTTAGTGTCTTAAAAGAGTTGGTTAAAGTGAGACCTAATGCGACTCCAATGTTGATAGAATGAGGTGAAACAATTTTACATGCCTGCTTGAGATTTGACCAGTTGGAGGCAATGAAATTCTTGTTGGAGCAAATGAGTGATCATGAGTATGTGAATTAATCTAAGGATGATGATGGCAACACTATATTGCATCTGACGGTGGCAGATAAACAAGTGGAGGTATGTATGAAGAGTAGGACTAAATTATTAATTAATTAATGCATTTTTGCTTATATTTATCTGTGTAAATTGGACAGTGTTAGAATTAGATTTTTTGCTTAGGTGCGCCAAATTTACTCTAAACTGATTCCATGTAAAGCTAAGCACACATAAGAAACTTTAAAATTCAGCGGGGAAAGGCAAGAGCCCCAACAAGCATATGCACGAGAAGCAGTGAGCAGGTTCGACCCATCTCAAATCTCAGGATCGGGACTGGAATTGCACAATACTGATTCTTGAGATTTAAGAACCAGAACTGGTACTGTAATTGGAACCTGTCGAGAAGGTTCTAGCTCCAGGTATCATGCGATTTCGGTCAAGCTGAAATTTTTGCTCACCCTTATTGACAAGTACTTCATACAATCGTGAAAACTCTCTTACATAGAACATCAATGCGAAAGGCTAATTATATTATATTTTTTTATTTTTTATATAAAATTGTCATAAGAAAACTGCTAATTCTAATCCCTAAATGTACTCAACCATGATGACAATAAATATGTGGGTGTGTGTCTGTGTGTGTCACCAGGAGTGTACATATGTATGTATATAATGCTTTTGGATTTGTTGATGCAAATAAATTTGTTATGTGCCTCATAATGTATATATTAAGCAACAATTTAATGTGTAGGCAATACAGTTTTTGACTATTAATAATGCAATATAAGTGAATGCTCTTGATAAAGGTAGCTTTACAGCTTTGGATATTTTAAAACAAAGTAGAAAATATTTGAAAGATTATGAAATTGTGGAGTTGCTTAGACGTGGGGGAGCTATTCTACAGAAGACATTGTCGTATCGACGCATGAACTTGGCTTCGAACAAACTAGAACCTTAACATCTCATGGAAATAATCAAATTAATATGTTGCACCCTCAAGGTAATCGTACAGAAAATTCCGTTCAGAAGAAAGATGATTTGTTGAAAGAAATGAATAATGCCTTGATGGTGGTAGCATCATTGATAGCTACTGTCACATTTCAAGCTAGTCTGAACCCTCCTGTTGGTGTATGGCAAGACACTAGGATAGACCCAGTTAGCACCCCCACATCTACACCGTATATATCACATGACAGGGGAGTCAATAACATTTGTTTTTGGTTTCAACGTCAGAGGGCTTATACATACAGTGTTTATTTTAATTTGTTTTTCGCTTTCAATACCATAGGGATTGTTGCATCTCTTTGCATCATTTTACTGCTCGTGAGTGGTTTGCCATGTTGTAAACGCAGGTTGTTTACGTGGATTTGGATGGTGATACTATGAGTTGCAATTACGACAATAACATTTGCTTATATCTTCTCTCTAATATGTATTAGAGGCCCGAATCAATAATTTATTGGGGAGATATATGCTACGTGGATTTTAGTGTATATATGGATTATCATGATGCCGATTTTTCTTGCGAGTTAGACGTTGTTCATTACATGGTTCAAATTATGTTTAATAACTAATATCTACAACATTAATAATTAATGTGTAAAAATTATGTTTTTGAGAGACTATATGTACTTTTATGATAATGCTACATATTTTATTTTTCCGGACATGTAAAGTGTTTTATGTTTTGTGCATATAACAAAAGTGAAGAACTTGTGCATATAAGACAAATCCCTTGCTTGATTTGAAAGATTTGATTTAATTGAGCTTAAGGCAAGGATATCTTCCCAACGTTTAGATTCCTCCATTCCTCGGTCTAATGAGAAAGTTAAGGTACCTTGATCTTTCTGGAGCTGGATTTACCGGAATGATTCCTTATCAACTAGGAAATCTCTCTGACTTAGATATCTTGAGTCTTGACGTTAAGTATGGGTTATAATGGTTCCTCCTTTCCAACTCGGTTCACTTGCTTTGATAATAATACAGCCCAAATAAGCTTAAGCCCAAAAATAATACAAATACAGCCCAAACAAGCTAAGCCCAAAATATAATACAGTCCAAATATAATAATACAGCTTGAGCCCAAATATAATAATACAGCCCTCAAATACAATAATGCATTTAACTTTATAAATGGATTTAGGTAACTTATCTGCACAGAATGGCTACACCTCATCTCGCTTCAAAAAGCAGCAGTCCACTATGGTATGCTGTAAGACGAACACCTGCTCATATCATTGTACTATCCAGCTATTCTCCGGATGGTAATCTCTCTTTAATTTATATCTATACAAATATCAAGTTCCATGTAAATGCAGATCACCACTTTTAAGTTCCTATTTTGCAAATGCTAGTTCATGCTTTTTTGGATCAGTGAAATATACACATCAATGGCGGTGGGTGAGAGGAGAGCTGAAAAGAGTGGAGAGGGAGAAGACATCTTGGCTTATTGTGATCATGCATGTGCCCATCTACAATAGTAATGTAAAGCACTACACGGAAGGTGAAAGCATGCGAACTGTTTTTGAGAACTGGTTTGTCAAGGCAAAAGTTGATTTCATCTTTGCCGGCCACGTTCATGCCTATGAAAGATCAGTGAGGATATCTTTTCCTTTTTGTTTCTGTAAATTCTCTGGGTTAAATCAAAGTTTTAATGGAACGAGTTCTAGTCAATTTAAAGAAAAGTCAGAATAACCTAAATGCTTAATGCCACATTGCCACTCAGCAATTCCAGCGAATATAGCCATAACTCTCATCAGTTATAATTTTGTAAATTTGCAGTATCGCATCTCAAATATACACTACAATATATCAAGAGGTGACCGGTATCCAGCACCTGACAAATCGGCTCCAGTGTATGTAACAGTTAGCACCCCCACATCTGCACCATATATATCACATGGCAGGGGAGTCACTAACATTTGTTTTTCGCTTTCACCGCCATACGGCTTATACATACAGTATTTATTTTAATTTGTTTTTCGCTTTCACTACCATAGGGTTTGTTGTATCCCTTTGCATCATTTTACTGCTCCTGAGTGGTTTGCCATATCATAAACGCAGGTTGTTTACGAAGATTTTGATGGTGATCCTGTGGGTTGCGATTACGATAATAACATTTGCTTATATCTTCTCTCTAATATGCATTAGAGGCCCGAATTAAAAATTCGTTGGGGAGATATATGCTATATGGATTGTAGTATATCTATAGATTATCACGATGTTGATTCTTCTTGCGAGTCACATGTTTCATCTTATGAAAAATATGAGAGCTGTTGTTCATCACATGTTTCAAATTATGTTTAATAACTAATATCTACAACATTAATAATTAATGTGTAGAAACTATGATTTTGAGAGACTGTATGTACTTTTATGATAATGTTACATATTTTATTTTTTATTTTTTGGTATGTAAACTGTTTTGTACATGTAACAAAAGTGAAGAACTTGTGCATGTAAGATAAATCCCTCGCTTGATTTGAAAGATTTGATTTACTTGAGCTTAAGGAAAGGATATTTTCCCAACGTTCAGATTCCTCCGTTCCTTGGTCTAATGAGAAAGTTAAGGTACTTGATCTTTGTGGAGCTGGATTTACCGGAATGGTTCCTTACCTACTAGGAAATCTCATTGATCTTAGATATCTTGACCTTAAGTATGGGTTATAATGGTTCCTCCTTTCCAAGTCAGTTCACTTGCTTTGATAATAATACAGCCCAAACAAGCTTAAGCCCAAAATATAATACAGTCCAAATATAATAGTACAAGTAATATAAAAATACAGCTTGAGCCCAAATATAATAATACAGCCCTCAAATATGATAGTACCTTTAACTTTATAAAAATAGATTTAGGGCAAACTCACTCTCAAAATTTAACTTAATGGAGGAGAGAATTTAGTCACATATATAACTTTAAACACTTAACAATTATTTTTTTATTTGTTGTCTCCTACAAAACGAAATGATATTTTAGAAGATTAAGATTAAGATATGTTGTGTCAAATAAAAAGATTGATTGGCCTTTTTCTATCATAGGAGACTCTTAACTTTCTAAGTCAATCAAAGAGGAAATTATGAAAGTATTCATATGAGATTTTCTCCTAGTGATTTAACTGTTGTTAAAAAATTATAAATAACTAAACATATTTTTTCCTTTGAACAGATGATTCATATTATTAAAAAACTCTACTGAATTAATTCATTTGACGTAGACAACATCTTTAGAGTTTTCAGGAACATAATTTTTTTTCTTGAGTAAATGATACGTTTGAAGTCAACAATGACTAACATCATAGTGAAAACAGAGATTGATTAAACATATAACTAAATTAGATTTTTCAATTGACAAAAATATTAAACTTGGACCAATAAAATGAATTACTTGCAACTAACATGCAGAAAAATTCTCCAAATTCATTGTATCTGGACCCATAAATTGGTTGGTTGAAAATTAGTAGAAATGGAGTTATGTTCAAATGATATATGTTAATGAGAGATTTATCATATTCTATCCTCTTAACTGAACTGATCTAAGCTTTGAAGCACATAATTATGATTATTTTGGTCTCTACAAACTTAATTTATACTTAACATATAAACTAAGGTCAATTATAAGAAGATGAAGTTAAAGGATTATGTTTTTTTATGAGAGGGAGGTCATCTATTCCCTAAGATAGTATATAATACAAATTCAATAACTAGACAAGAAGAACAATTAATGTAAATAACTTGATTGGTGGGCAAGAGAACTAGAACTGTTGTGTTTTTATTTTAGTTAGTAAGAACAGAATGAAGGAAATATATATGTGATCATGATTAATTTATCAGTAGGGAGCTGAATAATTTACATCCAAATTTTGTTTCATCAATTAATATTTCAAACAATTTACACTTGTTAGAGGATGTTGAAAGTTAGATATTTTATAAGTCTAAAAAGTGGTTGCTTATTAAGAATGGTTCCGTAGCTCTACTTTGAATGTTAAGAGTGTGTTAAAAGTTAGATTTGACAACTCAATGACCTGTTTTCTCCTTCGTTGACTTGGAAAGTTCAAAGTCTCCTCTGAGAACTGTTTCTATTAATAGTCTTTGAACTTTTATGACAAATTTGAAATTAATATTTGGTTTGAAATTTTCAAAGACTTCCACCACTTATATCTGGCCTTGTTTTATCATAGCAGGCCCTAACTTTCTAAGTCAACTAAAGACAAAATTATTAAAACGTATACGAGATTTCTCCTACATTAACTGTTTAAAAAAAAAAAAAAAAAAAAAAAGCTAGTTAACTATGATTTATAATAATTCATATAGAATTAATTAATGGTTTTATCGATGCTTGATTCTAACATCGATGACTTTGTATGTGTAAACTGTTTAGAAATCCTACATAAGCAGATTATAGAAAGTGAGTGACGTACTGCGATGGCAAGTGTATACAAGAACGTAAAATAAAGTTGAGAAGAGAGTTTTATAGTGATTCGAATGCTTATAAGCAATTCCTATATCCATTGTAATCGTATATAGAAGTGTTTTTTTTTTTTTTTTTTTAAATCATTACATAGGCTTACAAGAGTTGTGGCCTGTGTTGAATTTTCTTCTTTTGTTGCCTTTGACTCTTCTCTAACAGCAAGAGGTCGACCAAATTGGGACCTATAAATTAAATTACTTGGAATTGACATGCAGAAAACTTCTCTAAATTCATTGTATCCGAACCCATTAATTGATTGGTTCAAAATTGATGTATAACAAAAAACCTTAAAAGTCCCATAATGATAAGTCGTAAACTTCTTTGAAAACATAAAGGACTTGATCTTGAAACAGAGTGAAGAGGAAATAGCACGATGTAAACGAAGAAATTTATGTATTCAAACAGTAATTGCAAGAAAGAAAAACCAATGAGAATCGTCTTTAATTAGACAATCACTAATTTCTATGGAAAAAACAATTGGACTTTAGAGTTAAGATGTATCTATCATTTTCTGTGAAAAAACTATTTAAATATTAATACAATTGTAAATAGAAATAGAATTATGATAGTCCTACGAAGAGTAGAATAAGTCCTATTAATTTGAGAGGAGTGAGAACCAAATCAAGATTATAAGGGGGTGAGAACTAAATCAAGATTATGAGAGAAGGATGAGTTACAGCAAAATGTTGTTTAAACACCATGGATTTGATTGTAGAAATTGGGATTGTGTTTCCACTCGGTTAATTAGGTGCTAAGTTAGGTATTGGATTTATGGTGTGTGTATTCTTGCATATTAGTGTAAAAAAAGTATGTATGTCCGGAACATAGTTTAATAATCTCATAGTACAACTAATGTTTAAGATAATATGATCTCATGATATGTATTTAGATAAAAATCTAAAGTTATTTATTTAATGGGGAAATCTAACAGAGAAAGCAAGAAAAATCATCGCTTTTTAATAACTTCTTTAATTGACTTAAAAGAGTCTAGTCTGGAGATAAGGGGGGTCCAATAACGTCTTGGAAACTTTGAATTAAAAAGTATTAAAAATTAATCTAATCCAAAGCCTTCTAGATGATAAAGGAATACACAATATAAATAAGACGCTAGATCAATGCTCTCATGCACAACTCCATTGGCCATGAAACCAAGCATGAGTATTGTTGTTCTTGTTCTTGCCTTACTTGCCTTGGCAACCATCAACTTTTGTTTCTGCAGCAACAGAAGCACTCACCTAAATTGCATCGAAAGTGAGAGACAAGCACTTTTAAAATTGAAGCAGGATTTTGGAGATGAATCAAACATGCTTGCTTCTTGGAGTGGTGATGGAAATTGCTGTTCATGGGCTGGTGTTATCTGTGACAATTTGACCGGCCACGTCCTTGAGCTCCACCTTGAAGGCGATTCGGCACGATTCTTGAGAGGCAAGATAAATCCCTCTTTGGCTGATTTGAAAGATTTGGTTCACTTGGACTTAAGCAACAATTGTTTTGTGGATATTATTCCTCCATTCCTCGGTTCTATGAAAAAGTTAAGGTACCTTAATCTTTCTTATGGTGGATTTAGGGGAATGATTCCTCCTCAACTAGGAAATCTTTCCGATCTACAGTATCTTGACCTTTCTACACATGGCATCTTGACAGGAATGATTCCTCATCAATTGGGAAATCTCTCCAACTTGAGATATCTTGACCTCAGAGGTGGGATTGGCTTGAATGTTGAGAATTTGTCTTGGCTATCTGGTCTTTCTTTGATGGAGCACCTTGATTTGAGTGGTGTGAACCTCACCAAATCTTCCGACGGGCTGCTGGTGATAAATCGTCTCCCTCTTTTACAAGTGCTAAAATTGTCAACGTGTCAACTTCATCACTTTCCTCCCTTACCAATTGCAAACTTTTCATCTCTTACTATCCTTGATCTTTCTCTGAACCAATTAGGTACCTCTATTCCTAGTTGGATTTTTGGTCTTAAAGACTTGATCTTTCTTTCACTATATGGTAATGATTTTCAAGGTCCAATTCCAAATGGACTTCAAAACTTGACATCTCTTAGGCACTTTGATTTGTCTGGGAACTTATTCAACTCTTCCATACCCGACTGGCTGCACAAATTTAGTTTCCTTGAGTTCTTTTCTCTTGAAAGGTCTCCTTATGACTTCATACCATGTGGTGAACTTGAAGGTAGTATTCCAAGGTCATGGGGAAGACTTTGTAACTTGAGATCACTTGACTTAAGCTGTGTCAAGTTGAATCAAACGATATCTGAAATCTTAGATATCTTTTCAGGTTGTGTTTCAAATGGCCTAGTGTCATTGGCTTTGAATCAAGCACAACTTTTTGGTCATTTAACCGACCAGTTTGGCAAATTAAAAAATTTAGTTTCTATTGATCTAAGTTATAACTCCATAGTTGGTTATGTTCCAGATTCTTTAGGACAACTTTCATCCTTGGAAGAAGTAGATCTTTCCTTTAACAAATTGGAGGGAACTATATCTGAAATTCACTTTGTCAATCTCACAAGACTATATGCTTTTGATGTATCTGAAAACTCACTATCATTGAAAGTTAGTCCTGATTGGATTCCTCCTTTCCAACTTGGAGTGCTTGGTTTGCGTTCTTGTCATTTAGGGTCTCGATTTCCATCGTGGCTTCCTTTGCAAAAGAATTTATTTGCTTTGGATATATCAAACTCAACACTTGTAGATACCATATCTATTAGATTCTGGGAATTTTTTTCCCAAATATCTGTTTTAAATCTCTCTCACAACCAAATTCATGGAGAAATTCCAAATTTAAGGGAGACTGCTCCTTTTGGAAGTCTGTTCTTGCAGTCAAATAGTCTATCAGGTCCATTGCCTAATATGTCTTCCTTGCGTCCCGCTGAAATCAATCTTTCCAACAATAATTTCTCAGGATCCATATTTCAATTTCTGTGTTCTGGGTTTAACAATCTTGAGTTTCTCAACCTTAAAGGAAACTTCTTATTTGGAGAGTTGCCCGATTGTTGGGAGTATTTCAAAAGTTTGAAGATACTTGATTTAGGGAACAATAAATTTACGGGGAACCTTCCAACCTCCATCGGAAATTTGGATTCCCTTCAGTCACTTCACCTTAGAAGAAATAAACTTTCTGGACCATTACCTATGTCATTTAGAAATTTAGCAAATTTAAAGATACTTGACATAAGTCAAAATGAGTTTGTCGGAAAAGTTCCAGCATGGATCGGAGAAACATTTTCAAGAATGATAATTCTCAACCTCCGTTCAAATAAGTTTTATGATGTTTTACCGGTGGAGCTTTGTCAGCTATCTTCTCTGCAAATCTTAGACCTTGCTTATAACAATTTCTTTGGAAGAATACCAGCATGTCTCAATAATTTCAGTGCCATGGCGACAAAGCAATATTCCATAGGTGACCGTTATCTGTTCAACGAAATCACGGGTGAGAAATTTATTGTGGATGTTCGCCTTGTTATGAAAGACAAATGGAGGAATATAGCACTATTCTTAATTTGGTAAGAATTATAGACCTTTCCAAAAACAATTTTTCTGGAGACATTCCTGTTGCAGTAACAAACCTTGAAGCACTGCAAACACTGAATTTGTCAAATAATTTTCTTACCGGAGGAATTACTAGAACCATTGGTGCTATGACATCTATAGAATCCCTTGATTTCTCTGGCAATCATCTTTCAGGTGAAATCCCATGGAGTATTTCGAACCTGACTTTTTTGAGTCACTTGAACTTATCCAACAACAACCTCACTGGGAGGATTCCTTTGAGCACTCAACTACAAAGTTTGGATGCATCTTGTTTTGCTGGAAATGACCTTTGTGGAGATCCACTTCCTAAGAATTGTCATACGACTGATTCAATGTCAAACCACAAAGATGAACATGAAGTGAATTGGTTTTATGTAAGCATGCCAATTGGGTTTATAGTGGGCTTTTGGGGTGTAATTGGTCCTTTGCTTGTCAACAGAAGATGGAGGTACAAGTATTGTTATTTCTTAGATTGTCTAGGGAACAAACTTTACTATTTTGTAAAAAAATGTTGCTAGATCCTTTATATTCTTAGCTATATTGGTGTATGATTGAAGAGAGAAATAACTGTTGAAATAAAGATGATGTTCTCATTCCAAAGAGTTTATTCCATTTTAAACTTGATCTTTTGTTATTGGAAGTTATTAGCATTGAGATATTATTGGCATCCTCAACGAGTGAATTCTAATTATAACAGCAAAGAACAACACTATAAGAAAAGATAAAAATGTCTAAAAAGACATATAATTCTCATAATTTGTTTTCTCTGGCTATAATGATACTGAAAAGAAAAAGAGATGCCAAGACAAAATCAAATAAACGACTTATTAAGAACAGCAGGCTGAGTGTGCGGAGTAATAAAATCTGACCAACTTGTTCGGCCAACAATCCAATGACTCGATCCATGTAGAGAATATAAAGCCCATTTCTAATTTCCAAAAGTTCTGCTGCTTTTCTTGCTAGGAGGACTGATTTAACGCACTCTTCATGGAGCACTGCAATGTCATAGTATATTTTGAGCATTATCAAATCCATAAATGCTTTAAATAAAATTGGAGGGTGAGAGTCTCATTATGAACCATTGGATTACTAGGTAAAGTACTGTAATAGGACCCTTGAACTGCTTATAAATTAGAGCCCATAACCTTTTACATCTAGAAATCAACATGTTTAATGGACATGCAATGTTGGTCTTGTAAAAATTTTCTTTTTTCTTTTTTGGCATAAATATCAAATTTTCTAAATGACTAATGCATGAATAATGTTATTTTTCTAAAACATTTTTTTATTCATTAATTGAATTTAAAATTTTACTCATTACTGTTGATATTTCAACATCATCTTTCAGTATTTCTTCAATCGCCTCAATTATATAAAAAAATAAAATAAAATAACTTATGTACTAACTAAATCATATATAATTTTGAACAGGATCGACATGTTAAATTTTATTATTGAATTACTAAACGAGTTCACATGTTGACTAAATCCTAACGCAGCATGTTTATTGAACCTATCACTTATTCAAATCATATTACTATATGATGAATACTGAGCATATTCAGTCATATCAATAAGTCAAAGTTCATTAACATGACTTATACTCATTGAACGGATGCATATATACTCGTCCACTTAGATATTCCTATATGATGAATACAGAGTATATTTAGTTATATATATATGTGTGTGTGTGTGTAATACAAAATATCTAATAAAAACTTTTTGTTCTATGTCAAACATGAGAAAGAAAAAAAAAAATAAAGAATGAAAAATCTCGTTTCAACATAGTTAATATTAATTAATTGGAGTTTTCTTAACTTCAAATCTATCAATTATTTTTTGGTAATTATGTTCTATCCACTTCACTCCAGTATCTAATTTTTTTTTTTTTCTTTTATTTTGGAGATTTTCCCAGTAATATTAATTATTATGAGGACTTATCTATAAATATTTCAGCAAAATTTTGTTCTCTTATTAACTTTGAATCTAACAGTTAACTTGTAACATCTCAATCCACTAGTAAGATATTATTAGATTTTTGTTTCTTACCCACCTTAAATTGTAGGACTGAGGATGCATTTACTTCTACTTATGGGCTGCCTTTGATTTAACTTCTTGGGCTTCACAACAATCTTTAACCTTAGGCTTGGGGGTTTAATTTTGGATCCAATACTCTTCATTCGGAACACCCCAAGAGTGCATAAATTATTATTTGGAATTGCGAAACTGCCATTATTTTTCTACTTCCCATGATACAGAAATTTATTACCTCAATAATTAATGTTAGCAAATGTAAAAGTCTAAAGAAAAGTTCCTGATTGACGTAAGTAATATTTAAACTCTTTACTAGTTAATTACTTTTGGTTCTCATTGTAATTATTAAATATTATGAAATCTCATTGTAAAAGCATGTTTACGTAGTGTAATATCATAATATTTCTTTTAATGTATGCTAATCCAGAATATTATTTTGATTATCAACAGAGAAAGTAAGAACTTCTTTAATTGACTTAAGAGTCTATTCCAGGGCAAAGCCTTGTAGATGATTTAGAATTCATAATATAAATACGATTCTAAATCAATGCTCTCATCCATGTTTCCTTTTTACACAGTTTTCATTCAGAAGTGCATAGTCATGAAACCCAGATATTTTCCAAACGTTCAGATTCCTCCATTCCTTGGTCCAATGAGAAAGTTAAGGTACCTTGATCTTTCTCATTAGTTTTCAAAGGTTATACTTGCAATCGAATAGGCTGTCAGGTCCACTACCTATTATACCTTCATGATTTAACGATCTTAATTTTTCAAACAATAATTTCTCTGGATCTATTCCTTTATTTTTGTGTTCAGGGACTAAGTTCTAGAGTTTCTCATGCTTAAAGACAATTTTTTATCTGGAGAAATACTGATGAAAAGAAAAAATATCAAGATCTGGGTTGAGTTTGTGGAGTGATAAAATTAAATGCAAAGATAAAACTAAAGAAACAGTTTATCAAGAAGATCTGGGTTGAGTTTGTGGAGTGATGAAACCTGACCAACTTGTTCAGCCAACAATCCGGTGACTCGATCCATGTATAGAACATAAAACCCATTTCTACTTTCTAAAAGTTCTACTGCTTTTCTCGCTTGGAGGATTGATTTAACCCACTCTTCCAAGAGCACTGCAATGTCATCATTGGTTGGGTTCATATATTTAAGGCATTGTCAAATCTTGAAATGCTTTATATTAAGCTTGAGTGCAAGAAAATACTTAATTAGATTGAAAGGAATAAAGTACCAGAACATACTTTTGTCGAAAAATTCACTTTTTAACCAGGTTAATAAGTAATCTGATTTTAGAAACTCAATAAGCTGGATCCTACCACTCACAAAAACAAATTAGACAAAGCTATTTCGGATTACTAGATGATAGATAAATGGAAAGTTGGATAAATTTTTTGAATAGGAGTTGGTTTCTACTAGGTCATTCAATTTGGATTTGCTATGAACTTGGCCATGAATAGTTGAGCCACCCAGCCTGCCCTATTGATTAAACTATACTAACGACTTTCACACCACTCTCTCAGGCATTACAGCTTCATTACAATGAAAAATGACAATTCCAGTGTCACAAGTCTTCAATTAAAAAAATAGGAGAACAAATGCTTGAAGAAAAGCTTTTTACAATGCCTAGCTGTCTCCTAATTCAGTAAAAGATATGGACCTTAGTTTAGATATGGAATCTAATCGAATGTAGATACAAAATCTCACTCAATGGAATAATTTGATGAGAGATAGGGGAGGTGATCATGAATGCAAATAGTTACTGAAGTACTTACATTAGAAACATGCACTCATGCATACTGGGGAAAGCAACATCAAATGGATATGAGAAAAGCAAGCTTTCTGCTACTACAGAAATTCTTTGGGATACTGAGAATATGACACACTGTCCAATATAAGGCTTCACTTGCAACCTTGGGGATCAGGTGTTGAATACAGAATTGAGAATTGTCGTCAATATGAAGCGACTCTGAGTCAGCACCTTGAAAATAAAAACTGAGAAAATGGCAAAACTAAAAAGTTCATAATGGTAACATTCGCTGGAAAAATAGAAATCTTGCAATGATTTGATGCTCCTACTAATGAATATCACTATAAAGTGATAAGAAAAAGAGTTCTTAAACCTTTAAACAACATATATCTATAAAAAAAATGTTAAAAAGAGTATTTTAAAGCACAGGCAAGTATACCATCTTCTTTCAAGGAGGAACACATTCTTTTAACTGACTGCACAATTAAGCTGCTGACTATTCCTTCAATGACTTCTTTGCTCTTTCCCTCTGTTAATAGATTCCTCAATGATGCTTCAAGACAAAGACTTTAAATAGCACTAGGGTAGAATTAACTAAAAAGAAAATACATGAATGTATATGTCAAAAAACATAAAGGAACACTTAATACCATGTACAATTGCGACCCTGTCAATGTGAACAGCAAGAAACTAGAGCATAGACTCAGCAAAATGCTCTCAGTCAACAATAGAATTTTAAACAAGGAAACCTTCAACACCCAACAAAACTGCAGATCCTAACTACTCTGGGTCTAACAACCAACACCACAAGATATGTGATTTGAAAAGATGGCTTCTGTTCAGTCATTAAAGAACAGAGCAAACTAATGGCTTCATTAAAATCTCTTCTGTCTACTCTTTTCTAATAGCCAAATTAATCTATCCAAGCCAAGGGTGTCAAACATATTTTTAAGATATTAAAAGTTGACTTCAATTTAACTGCAATAAACTGATACAATTTCTAATACTAATACAATTTACAGGTATCTCATGTCAACACCTCACCTAAAATGAAGTCCAAAGTTTGGTGAGACCAATTTGCAAAATTGCCCTCCTTTGCCTGCAAAAATATAAGGCACCCAACATATGTGAATACAATACGGCAGTGATGATATAGAGCACATAGGGAAATTTCAGCAGGTTCCTCTAACCGGAGAAACAGTGTCGCAAAGCTCCACAGAAAAATCAACAGAGGCCCTAAGCTGCTCCACATGATCTTCATAGCTCAACTCTGTATTTGTAACAAAAATTTACATCAAACAGGTTTATACTAAACACCATTCTTGCTCTTAAATACTCATGAATTCAGAGACGTAATGTCAAAGAAATTCCCCAACAGCTATCAAGAAAGCAAAATCTAACTTGGTTACTCTAGAATGTCATAAGTTCCTCATTTTGACATTAAAATATAACAAATCAAAACGTCGAAAAACGTCATAAAATTGAATGTGGAACTATAATATTAGACTATCAAGCTTGTAATATGTTATAAACTAACATTTCAATTTATCGTTCCAATGTAAATTAAAATTAGCAAAAAATTAACTATATATTAAGTAAATGAACTTCAAAATAGAATGCACTTTTCCATAATATGCCTGTAAAACGTCGTCGTTGATTGGAATCGCCTGTTCTTCTCCTCCTTTCCTTCAGTCTCAGTACAAAATTAACAAACATTTTAACAAAAACAGCAACGGTAGTTGATAATTATCATTAAAACAACAATAAAAGAATAAATAAAAATGAACTTGTCTGAGAAATCTGCGGCGAAGAACGTCATTGAACCGACGATAAGAGGCATCTCCGTCGATCTTAGGGCTTAATTTCCCCAACCTATCAAAGAAACAGCACTTACAAGAAGCTGATTGCGGAAACAAATCGCAATGCGAAGAATCTAGATCCAAAATAAAACAATAAAATAACAAAATCAATGAATTATTAAAACAGAAAAAAAAAAAATTCAGAACCTAACCTTCAGCTTCTCTTAGATCCTCTCTCAGCCTGATGAGATCTTGCTTCCGTTCCTTCGCCTGAAATTTCAACAAAATTAGGATCTGTTTGGTTATGGAGATAACTGAATTCGAAAAAGTTGATGGAGATTTAGACGAGACCTTCCGCTTCCAGCGAAGTGCATCGGATTCAGAAGAAGGCTGAGTGCTTTGATTTTGACTAAGGGAGCTTTGATCGGAGAAGAGAAATGGCGACGGCGAGCTTAATTGATTCGTCGTTTGAAGCTGAAGATTTTGAATTTCTGTCCATTTGCATTTCAGTTGTGGATATTTTTGTAACTAAAGCGCGCTAGATTATGAATTTCTAAGCTAATGATATATGCAGAAATTTTTTTAAATATTTTGTACATGTATGCAGAGAAGACGGCGTAGTTTTGATATCATAACATATGGCACAACAGCATTTTGACATATGTTACAATATCTTTTCAAAGAATAAACGATGTCGTCTTTGTTACTTGCTTAATTTTCGCATAAATATATAACATAGAAAAGTTTTGTGCATAAACCCTAGAGTATAGGTGGGCTTAAGCTCAAATTTAATAATACAATTAACATGATTTAAACCAGGTTTAAGCCCAAACAAGCTTAAACCTAAATATAATAATACAATTAATATAATAATATAGCTTGAGCCCAAACAAGTTTGAGCCCAAATATAATAAGACAGCCCTCTAATATAATAATACAATCAACTTGATAAAAATGAGTTCGGTAGTACCTACTCTCAAAAGCTAATTGTACGAAAAAAAAAGTTCAATTACATATATAAACCTTAACAACCCATTAACGATGTGGAACAATTATTTTTTTCTCGTTGTCTCCTACAAAACGAATGATATCTTAGAAGATTAAGATATGTTGTGTTAAATAAAAAGATTGTTTGGCCTTGTTTTGTCAAATGAAACTTTTAACTTTCTAAGTCAATCAAAGAGGAAATTATGAAAGCATTCATATGAGATTCTCTCTTTGTGATTTAACTATTGTTAAAAAATTATAAATAACTAAACAGATTATCATACATTTTAAAAGTTATATTAAGGAAAAGCTAGCTAATTGTAGTTTGTAATAGTTCAAATAAAATTAATGGATTATTCATTAAATTCAGATCATCGGATCTTTTCCTTAGAACAGATGCTTCTTATTATTAAATAAACTCTACTGAATTAATTTATTTGACTTAGATAACATCTTTGGAGTTTTAAGGAACATAATTTTTTTCTTGAGTAAATGATACGTTTGAAGTCAAGGACGACTAACATTATACTGAAAATAAAGATTGATTAAACATTTAACTAAATTAGATTTTTCAATTGACAAAAAGATTAAAGTATTACATGGACCGCTAGCTCGCGATGTTGCACTCAGTATAATTTTCCTTCATTATGTTTTTAGTAAAACAAACGGGCCACTTGAATTTTCTTCTTTTGTTGCCTTTAACTCTTCTCTGACAGCAAGAGGTCGACCAAACTGGGACCAATAAATTAAATTACTTGGAACTGACATGTAGAAAATTTCTCCAAATTCATTGTATCCGGACCCATTAATTGGTTGGTTCAAAATTGATGTATAATAGAAAACCTTAGAAGTTCCCTTATGATAAGTTGTAAACTTCTTTGAAAACATAAAGGACTTGATCTTGAAACAAAGTGAAGAGGAAATAGCACAAAGTAATTTTTATTGTTGTCCGTAAATGAAGAAATTTATGTAATTCGAACAATAATTTCAAGAAAGAAAAACCAATGAGAATAGTTTTTAATTAGACAATCACTAATTTCTATGGAAAAAACAATTTGACTTTAGAGTTGAGATGCATGTATCATTTTCTGTTGGAAAAATAAATATTCCTGAAATTCCAAATGAATTATCAATCAAACATCAAATTTTTACACCAACTCACACGCAATTCCAGGTAGAAAATGGCACAATTGCAAAAGCAAAATATCTAAAAAAGAGCTTATAAAATTACTAAAATTCAACATAATTTACTGTAAATATTATAAATAAATTAATCCATTTCATATTAATGGAGTCCTTACACACAACTCTCCTATTATAATATAAATTAGCTACGGATTAAGATCATCCTAAATACTAATGAAAAATGTTGAAAAATCATATATTGGATAAATAATTACTTCTTTTAGTTCACTTAAGAGTCTACGGTGATAGCAACCCGCTAGCCCACTCTTAGAAGTTTTGATCAGAAGTGTAATCAAAGAAATTTCCTGCAACTTTCATGGACAAAAATTTCCTATAAGAAAGTTGATCTCACTAACTTGGTGATGTAGGACATAAAAGCAACTAAAACGCCCTAGACTATAGGGTGAAAATAAAAGCTAGTTGGCAATGTTACATGCACAATTTTCCTTCATTATGTTTTCAATAAAATAAAGGGACCAGTTGGATTTTCTTCTATGATCACGATGGTTTCACTTTATTTATTTTGTTGTAAATTGCATTTAATTAATAATTGAACAACACTTTTTATTTATTTTGAAAAATGGCGAAGAGAATGGATTCAAAGAACCATTATTTTTTTTTGAATGAACCAAGCTATTAAAATTCATCTTAACGAAAAATTTGACAAAATATCTAAGAGAATAATGGTTTCTAGTGACATAATTTGTTTTCTTCAGTAAATGATACGTTTGAAGTCAATGACGACTAATATCATACTAAAAATAGAGATTGATTAAACATTTAACTAAATCAATTGACAAAAAAAATTAAAGTGTTACATGGACAACTAGTTGGCGATGTTGCACTCGGTACAATTTTCCTTCATTTTTGTTTTCAGTAAAACAAATGGACCATTAGAATTTTCTTCTTTTGTTGCCCTTGACTCTTCTCTAACAGTAAGAGGTCGACCAAACTGGGACCAATAAATTAAATTACTTGGAACTAACATACAGAAAACTTCTCCAAATTGATTGTATCCTGACCCATTAATTGGTTGGTTCAAAATTGATGTATAACAGAAAACCTTAAAAGTCTCCTGATTATAAGTTGTAAACTTCTTTGAAAATATAAAGGATTTGATCTTGAAACAGAGTGAAGAGGAAATAGATTTTTATTATTGTTCGTAAACGAAGAAATTTATGTAATTCGAACAATAATTTCAAAAAAGAAAAACCAATGAGAATAGTCTTCAATTAGACAATCACTAATTTCTATGAGAAAAACAATTTGACTTTAGAGCTGAGACGCATGTATCATTTTCTGTGGAAAAAAACAATTCCTGAAATTCAAAACAAATTATCAATTAGGCATCAATTTTTTACACTAACTCACACGCAATTCCATGTAGACAATGACACAATTGCAAAAGCAAAATATTTGAAAAAGAGCTTATAAAATCACTAAAATTCAACATAATTTACTGTGAATATTATAAATAAATTAATCCATTTCATATTAATGGAGTCCTTACATACAACTCTCCTATTATAATATAAATTAGCTACAGATTAACATCATCCTAAATACTAATGAAAAATGTTAAAAAATCATATATTTGATAAATAATTACTTCTTTTAGTTCACTTAAGAGTCTACAGTGATAGCAACCCGCTAGCCCACTCTTAGAAATTTTGATCAAAAGTTGTAATCAGAGAAATTTCCCGTAAGTTTCATGCACAAAAATTTCCTATAAGAATGATGGTCCCTTTTGGTGATGTGGGACATAAAAGCAACTAAAAAACCCTAGAATATAAGGTGAACATAAAAGCTAGTTGGCAATGTTGCATTCACAATTTTCCTTCATTATGTTTTCAATAAAACAAAGGGACCATTTGAATTTTCTTCTATGATCACGATGGTTTCATTTTATTTATTTTGCTGTAAATTGTATTTAATTAATAATTGAACAATACTTTTTATTTATTTTGAAAAATGGCGAAGAGAATGGATTTAAAGAACCATGATTTTTTTTAATGAATCAAGCTATTAAAATTCATCTTAACGAAAAATTTGACTAAATAACTAAGAGAATAATGGTTTCTAGTGTCAAAATGTAAATGTTTTCAGATATTCAATTAAACTTTTATTTCTCTAAGAATAGGAATTTGAATAAGAATAAGAATTAATTAATTAATTAATTTCTAAAAGTAGACTAATAATACCTTTTGATATGATAGATTGGGATTACTTCTGGGAAAGAGTATTTCTCCCAATAAAAAAGGAAAAGTTCATTAATAAGAGATATTGAATCCCATTTTATGTTGAAGTTAATTCATAATCTTTTAGGAGCTTCACAATTTTGGAGTACAGTATTTACATTATATATTTTATATAAATCCTTTTGTTATATATATTTTAAAACATAATTTCATGTGAATGTTATAAATTTTGTGTAAAAATCTAAGGTTTAATTATCCCTTTTTCTTGGCTTATAGTTCACTTCTTGCAAAGATACTTAACTAACCTACGAAATTTTGTTGTATATTTAATCCTCTATTGACTTATTGTGGGCAAGAGAACTAGAATCGTTCTATTCTACTTTGTTTTAGTGAGAAGATGATGAAGGAAATTATATATGACTATGATTTATCATTCAGAATTTAAAGAATTTAAATTTAACAATTACAATTTAAATACATAAAAATAGAGTCAAGTAATTAATTGCTTTTTGATTATGAGAATAAAAAGTCTAAAGAAAAATATTAGTGATTTTTGTCATGATAAATAACACTTCAAACTTTTTTACTGATAAAAATCTTTCTTTAATTATTAATATTTAATTGTCATTAGTTGAATGGCCGAACGACATGCAGCCACCCATAGTTTGCTATAAAGACAATGTGGTACCCAATAAGTTTGAAAACGTCACTTACCTACCTTCCGTCCAAATCTGTTAGTAAAGTTAGTTTGAAAAAGGATAATATGGTAATTTTATATCCAACAAAAAAATATAATTAATTTTAATTAAAATTTTAACTTCATCTTCTTCATCTCTCGCCAGAACCACGGGACAACCGGCAACAAACGACCAAAGCCCCAAAAAAACCTTACTCAAATCACCAAAAGATTCAATGCAAAAAATCCCAAAGAATCACTCTCAAACACTCAAAAGAACCAAAACACGCAAGGGACAGAAGGTTTGGGGCAAAACATTAAACAAGTGGCGTGCCAAAACTTGGAAAATCAATCATCAATGCCAAACCCGATCAGAAATCCCCAAAAATCAAACAAAAACAGAAAAAAAAAAAAAACACCCCAATTAATCTCCAACCATCAATTTCTCATCAAAAACTCCGAAAAAAACCAATCAATCCCAATTCAACAAACAACAAAAAGCCCTAGGAATTCAATGGGCGGTGAAATGTGAGCAAACGACGACGGGGAAAGCGGGGGTTTTGGAGAGGGCACACCGAAAAGACGATTGGCGGGGAGAGGAAAGGTTTTCGGTAATGGGGCCTTCGGAAAATGGGTGGGGAAGTGCGACAGTTTTGCAAAAGACCCCTTTTTTTGCCCTTTTATGAGAGAGATGAAGAAGATGAAGACAGGAAGAGAGAGAGGAGAGAGGCTTTCGATCTGGCCATATTTCGGTGCCGGGTTCTTGCCTACTGACTGGAGGAAAAAGAGGGAGAAGGAAGGGAAGAAGAAGCAGGGGGACAATCAGAGAAAGATAAGATAGAGAAAGGGGAGAAGAAGACGAAGGATAAGATATTGGGCAGATTTTTTTAATATTTTATTAATGCAATTTTTTTAACTTTTTTTATTATGCACAAACCTTAAAGCACGAAAAGTCAAAATTACCCCCATAAAAATGATAGAATGTCGATAATACCATTTTAGTTAACAGATTTACTAACTGATTTGGACGGAAAGTGGGTATTTGTCATTTCAAAACCTTTTGGGTATCAATTTATCTTTAAAGTAAATTCTGGGTAGGTGTAAGTCGTTCCCCCTTGAATTCATCATGTTGCCATGGCAGGTTATTATTCTTTCTCGGGGTCATTTTGGGGTTGGCCGAAGACTTCTACTGCTTTATATGTAACACAACGTACCCAAATCCTCCACGTTTGGTTGGCGGCCATGCAGCAATGTTATGTGACCCTGGCTATAACCATTAAAAGTCTACTGTCAGAAAGAATTTATTTAAAATCATAATTACTTTTTAAATTTAATCAGATTATATCTCAAAAATATTTATGGGATTTTTAATAAGCTATAAATAAATAAATAAAATATTAATAGATTTATTTGAATTACAAGTTAGAGAAATAAGCATGTGAGATGAAAACTTCATTGAATAAATTCATTCTCTTTTGGAGCTGTCTACTCCTCCACACGCGTATAAGTCGGCATCAAAATTTTATGTATGATTGATAACGTCTGTGGAGTTTTTAAGAAGATGAGTTTTCCAAAGTTGAAATTTTTAGAAGTGGGGCCTATATCTTTAAGCACTCTTAGAAATTTTGATCAAAAGTTGTAATCAAGGAAATTTCTTGCAACTTTCATGCCCAAAAATTTCCAAATCAATCCTGTACTGAGATATGTTGAGATTATTGAGCATATAATCCTGTATATATAGAATGCTATTGATAACGTTCTCATCACATCCCCTTTTATATATAGTTTCTATTCAGAGTTTCAATGACCATGAAACCGAGCATGAGTATTGTTGTTCTTTTTCTTGAGTTACTAGCCTTAGCAACCATCAACATTTGCTTCTGCAACAGAAACACCCACTTGAATTGCATTGAAAGTGAGAGAGAAGCACTTTTAAGGTTCAAGCATGATCTCAAAGATCCATCAAACCGGCTTGCCTCTTGGACTGGTGATGGAGATTGCTGTTCATGGGCTGCTGTTCTTTGTGACAACTTGACAGGTCGTGTTCTCCAGCTCCATCTTGAATATCCAGATTCTGATGATGAAGCTTATGAGAAGTCAAAGTTCGGTGGTAAGATTAATCCCTCTTTGCTTGATTTGAAAGTTTTGATTTACTTGAACTTAAGCAGCAATGATTTTGAAGGAATTCAGATTCCTAGATTTCTTGGTTCTATGGGAAAGTTAAGATATCTTGATCTTTCTGGAGCTGGATTTTCAGGAATGATTCCTCCTCAATTGGGAAATCTCTCTTACCTGAAATATCTTGACCTTGGTTGCGATGGTTATTGGAATTTGTATGCTGAGAACACTCTTTGGTTATCTGGCCTTTCTTTGTTGGAACACCTTGATTTGCATTATGTGAACCTTAGCACATCCTTTGACTGGTTGCAAGCCATAAATAACCTCTCTGTTTTAAAAGTGTTGAAATTGTCATTTTGTCAGCTTTCTAACTTTCCTCCACTACCCATTGCAAACTTTTCGTCTCTTACTGTCCTGGATCTTTCTGCTAACCAATTAGGTGACACAATTCCTAGTTGGATGTTTGGTCTTAATGATTTAGTCTTTCTTTCACTATCTTTTAATAATTTTCGAGGTCCTATTCCTGATGGACTTCAAAACTTGACTTCTTTGAGTCACTTTGATTTATCTTTTAATGATTTCAACTCTGCATTTCCCAATTGGTTGTACAAATTTAGCCACCTTGAGTACCTACATTTGTCAGAAAATAAAATTGAAGGGAGACTTCCAAGATCATTTGGAACACTTTGCAACTTGAAATCAATCAATCTATTCGGTGTGAAATTAAATCAAAGTGTATCTGAAGTCCTTGATATCTTCTCGGGATGTATACCAGAGGGGCTACAGTTTTTAAATTTGGATGGATCTCAACTTTTTGGTCATTTGACTAATAAACTTGGGAAACTTAAGAATCTAGTCCGTCTTGACCTGCACAACAACTCTATTCTTGGTTCTATTCCATTCTCTATGGGAAAACTTTTGTCCTTGGAATATTTAGATCTTTCCTATAACAAATTGGATGGAATTGGTTCTATTCCATTCNTTCGGAGGTGATGCTGGAAGGTAGCACGGAGGAGTTTTTATCTAAGCAGGCGGCACCGCGGCAGATTGCAGAATTGGCTGAATCGCAAATGGAGAGACCGAGAGAGAGATATGTAGGAAGGGCAGCAGGTGGGGCGTGGGGAGAGTTAGGGAATGGGATGAGAAAGAGGTTAGAGGTTAGGGTTTGGGAAAATTAGATATATATACTTAGGATAATACTGTAATTAAACATATAGTATAAGGGTAAATTAGTAAAATAGACAGTACAATTTGCGGGCCGGGCTAGGCCTGAAGATATACCCATACCCGGCCCGTACCCGTGGTCGGGCCTTGAAATCAAGCCCAGGCCCAAGACCAAGCCCGTCACCTACGGGTAAGGCCCAGCCTTTTCGGGCCGGGCCGGGCCGGGCTGGGTACCCAAAAAACTCGGGCCCATTGCCATCTCTAGTTAGAACTATTTCTTTATTACCATACTTTAATGATATCCAAAGATTCAAAAGTTTTTTTTCGCTATAATGATACTGAAAAGAAAAAGAGATGCCAAGACAAAATCAAAGAAACGACTTATTAAGACCATCAGGCTGAGTGTGCGAAGCAATAAAACCTGACCAACTTGTTCAGCCAACAATCCAATGACTCGATCCATGTAGAGAATATGAAGCCCATTTCTAATTTCCAAAAGTTATGCTGCTTTTCTTGCTAGGACTGATTTAACGCAATCTTCAAGGAGCACTGCAATGTCATCGTATATTTTGAGCATTATCAAATCCATTAATGCTTTAAATAAAATAGGAGGGTGATAGTCTCATTATGAACCATTGGATTAATAGATAAGGTATTGTAATAGGACCCTTGAACTGCTCATGAATTAGAGCCCATAACCTTTTACATCTAGAAATCAACATGTTTAATGGACATGCAATGTTGGTCTTGTAAAAGTTTTCTTTTCGCTTTTTTCTTTTTTTGCATCAATATCAAATTTTCTAAATGACTAATGCATGAATAATGTTATTTTTCTAAAACATTTTTTTATTCATTAATTGAATCTAAAATTTTACGCATTACTGTTGATATTTCAATATTTCTTCAATCGCCTCAATTATATAAAAAAATAAAATAAAATAACTTATGTACTGACTAAATCATATATAATTTTGAACTGGATCAACATGTTAAATTTTATTATTGAATTACTAAACGAGTTCACATGTTGACTAAATCCTAACGCAATCTGTTTGTTAAACCTATCACTTATTCAAACCATATTACCATATGATGAATACATATCAGATTCAGTCATATCAACAAGTCAAAGTTCATTAACATGACTTATACTCATTGAACGAACACATATACACTCGTCCACTTAGATTTTACTATATGATGAATACAGCTCATATTTAGTCGTGTATATATATATATATATATATATATATATTGTGTGTGTGCAATACGAAATATCTAATAAAAACTTTTATGTTCTATGGCAAACATGAGAAAGAAAAAAAAATTAAAGAATGAAAAATCTCGTTCGGCAATCACTATTTTCATTATAGTTAATATTAATTAATTGAAGTTTTCTAAACTTCAAATCTATCAATTATTTTTTGGTTATTGTGTTCTATGCACTTCACTCCAATATCGATTTTTTTTTCTTCTGTCTGGTAGGATATTTTGGAGATTTTCCTAGTAATATTAATTATTATTAGGACTTATCTATAAATATTTCAGCAAAATTTTGTTTTTTTATTAACTTTGAATCTAAGAGTTAACTTGTAACATCTCAATCTACTAGTAAGATATTATTGGATTTTTGTTCGTTACCCACCTCAAATTGTCGGACTAAGGATGCATCCTTCTTGGTTTTCCTATGATAAATCATTATTGTTGTAGAGAACTAGGCCTTACTAGATCCAGATCTTGAAATTAATAAATTGAATAAAATTAATCTTTTATCTTTGTTGGAGTCAAATTTGTGACACTAAAAAGTAATGGTCCTTGTATAGGGCCTTTGTGATAATGGATAGTTACCTAACCGTTAGGTCTAATATAGTGGAGCAATTCTTGGGTAATGGGAAGTTGATGAAGGTGCCCCTTTCACTCCCACTTCCCCGCTCTTAGGGAATCCTTGTGAACTTGGGCCGTTTGACTCCCCTTGATCTACTTCTACTTTTGGGCTGCCTTTGATTTAACTTCTTGGGCTTGATTACATTCTTTAACCATAGGCTTGGGCGTTTAATTATGGATCCACTACTCTTCATTCGGAACACCGCAAGGATGCATAAATTATAATTTGGAATTGCAAAATTGCCATTATTTTTCTACTTTTAATGATAAAGAAATTTATTACATCAATAATTAATGTTAGCAAATGTAAAAGTCTAAAGAAAAGTTCCTGATTGACGTGAGTAATATTTAAACTTTTTACTAGTTAATTACTTTTGGTTGTCATTGTAAATATTAAATATAATGAAATCTCATTGTAAAAGCATGTATACATAGTGTAATATCATAATATTTCTTTTAATGTATGCTACTCCGGAATATTATTTTGATTGTCAACAGAGAGTAAGCACTTCTTTAATTGACTTAAGAATCTGGTCCAGAGCAATAGATGATTCAAAATACATAATATAAATACGATTCTAGATCAATGTTCTCATCCACGTTTCCTTTTTACACAGTTTTCATTCAGAAGTGCATAGTCATGAACCCAGATATTTTCCAAACGTTCAGATTCCTCCATTCCTTGGTCCAATGAAAAAGTTAAGGTGCCTTGATCTTTCTCATTAGTTTTCAAAGGTTTTTCTTCCAATCGAATAGGCTGTCAGGTCTACTACCTGTTATACCTTCATGTTTTAATGATCTCAATCTTTCAAACAATCATTTCTCCGGATCTATTTCTTTATTTTTGTGTTCAAGGACTAAAGTTCTAGAGTCTCTCATGCTTAAAGACAATTTTTTATTTGGAGAAATACTGATGAAAAGAAAAAATAACAAGAAGATCTGGGTTGAGTTTGTAGAGTGATGAAACCTGACCTACTTGTTTAGCCGACAATCCGATGACTCGATCCATATATAAAACATAAGCCCATTTCTACTTTTCAAAAGTTCTAACTTGGAGGACTGATTTAACCCACTCTTCCAAAGCCCTGCAATGTCATCATTGGCTGGGTTCATATATTTCATGCATTGTCAAATCTTGAAATGCTTTATATTAAACTTGAGTGTAAGAAAATTCTTAATTAGCTTGAAAGGAATAAAGTACCAAAACATACTCGAAGAATTCACTGTTTGACCAGGTTAATAAGTAATCTGATGTTAGAAACTCAATAAGTTGGATCCTACCACCCACAAAAATAAATTAGACAAAGCTATTTTGGATTACTAAATGATAGATGAATGGAAAGTTGGATTAATTTTTTGAATAGGAGTTGGTTTCTACTAAATCATTCAATTTGGATTTGCTATGAACTTGGCCATGAATAGTCGAGCTACCCAGCCTGCCCTATTGATTAAACTATACCCACAACTTTCACACTACTCTCTCAGGCATTACAGCTTCATTACAATGAAAAATGACAATTCCAGTGTCACAAGTCTTCAATTAAAAAAATGGGAGAAAAAATGCTTGAAGAAAAGCTTTTTACAATGCGTAGATACAAAATCTAACTCAATGGAATAATTTGATGAGAGATAGGAGAGGTGATCATGAATGCAAATAGTTACTGAAGTACTTACATTAGAAACATGCACTCGTGCATACTGGGGAAAGCAACATCAAATGGATATGAGAAAAGCAAGCTTTCTGCCACTACAGAAATTCTTTGGGATACTGAGAATATGACACGCTGTCCAATATAGGCTTCACTTGCAAGCTTGCAGATCAGGTGTTGAATACAGAATTGAGAATTGTCGTCAATATGAAGCGACTCTGAGCCAGCACCTTGAAAACAAAAACTGAGAAAATGGCAAAACTAAAAAGTACATAATGGTAACATTCGCTAGAAAAATAGAAATCTTGCAATGATTTGATGCTTCTACTAATGAATATCACTATAAGGTGATAAGAAAAAGAGTTCTTAAACCTTTAAACAACATATATCTATAAAAAAATGTTACAGAGTATTTTAAAGCACAGTCAAGTATACCATCTTCTTTCAAGGGGGAACACATTCTTTTAACTGAGTGCACAATTAAGCTTCTGACTATTCTTTGAATGACTTCTTTGCTCTTTCCCTCCGTTAATAGATTCCTTAATGATGCTTCAAGAAAAAAGACTTTAAATAGCACTAGGGTAGAATTAACTAAAAAGAAACTACATGTATGTATATGTCAAAAAACATAAAGGAACACTTAATACCATGAACAATTGAGACCCTGTCAATGTGAATAGCAAGAAACTAGAGCAGAGACCCAGCAAAATGCTCAGAGTCAACAATAGAAGTTTAAACAAGGAAACCTTCAACACTCAACAAAACTGCATATCCTAACTACTCTGGGTCTAACAACCAACACCACAAGATATGTGATTTCAAAAGATGGCTTTTGTTCACTCATTAAAGAACAGAGCAAACTAATGGCTTCATTAAAATCTCTTCTGTCTACTCTTTTCTAATAGCCAAATTACTCTATCCAAGCCAAGGGTGTCAAACATATTTTTAAGATATTAAAAGTTGACTTCAATTTAACTGCAATATACTGATACAAGTTCTAATACTAATACAATTTACAGGTATCTCATGTCAACACCTCACCTAAAATGAAGTCCAAAGTTTGGTGAGACCAATTTGCAAAATTGCCCTCCTTTGCCTGCAAAAATATAAGGCACCCAACATATGTGAATACAATACAGCAGTGATGATATAGAGCACATAGGAAAATTTCAGCAGGTTCCTCTAACCGGAGAAACAGTGTCGCAAAGCTCCACAAGAAAATCAACAGAGGCCCTAAGCTGCTCCACCTGATCTTCATAGCTCAACTCTGTATTTGTAACAAAAATTTACATCAAACAGGTTCATACTAAACACCATTCTTGCTCTTAAATACTCATGAATTCAGAGACATAATGTCAAAGAAATTCCCGAACAGCTATCAGGAAAGCAAAATCTAACTTGGTTACTCTAGAATGTCATAAGTTCCTCATTTTGACATTAAAATATAACAAATCAAAAAGTCGAAAAACGTCGTAAAATTGAATGTAGAACTATAATATTAGACTATCAAACTTGTAATATGTTACAAACTAACATTTCAATTTATCGTTCCAATGTAAATTAAAATTAGCAAAAAATTAACTATAAATTAAGTAAATGAACTTCAAAATAGAACTGCACTTTTCCATAATATGCCTGTAAAACGTCGTCGTTGATTGGAATCGCCTGTTCTTCTCCTCCTTTCCTTCAGTCTCAGTACAAAATTAGCAAACATTTTGTTATAACCTAAGCCTGATAAGCAAATTCGCAACACAAACAACCACACACAAGATTAAAGATCAAAGAATCACACACACAACACAAGGCACGATTTTACCGTGGTTCGTCTATCCAATCTTGGATAGACTACATCCACGTTGAGCTCCGAAACACGGACACTCACAGCACTAAGAAGATATTCAACGATTACAAGAAGGACAAGAATACAAATCTGTCAAAAACAGACTAACACCCAACTAAGGCCTAATCACTCAAGAATCTCTCAATAATCTGTAAGAAAAACAGAGGACAAATACCAGCCTCAAGAAGGAAACACAACCCTCTCTCACAATCAACCCAGATTACACCCAGAAAGATTTAGCAAAAACCAACCCTAGTTTTTTCCCTCTTTTGCAAACCCTAATACCCGATTAACAACAAAACGCATTCTCCTCTTTTATCACTATTGCTCTTCTTTATATATGTCTGCATTCGTAATCCTCAGCCCTTGGATCTGTCTTGATCTGATGGCTAAGATTCGGTAATGGTCTTAAATGAAACGACCCCGTTTTGGCTTCTAATGGACTTAAGTGAAACGACTCCATTTTTGGCTTCACATTATTTTCACATTTTAACAACAACAGCAACGGTAGTTGATAATTATCATTAAAACAACAATTAGAGAATAAATAAAAATGAACTTGTCTGAGAAATCTGCGGCGAAGAACGTCATTGAACCGACGGAAATCTTAGGGCTTAATTTCCCCAACCTATCAAAGAAACAGCACTTAAAAGAAGCTGATTGCGGAAACAAATCGCAATGCGAAGAATCTAGATCCAACATAAAACAATTAAATAAAAAAAATCAATGAATTATTAAAACAGAAAAAAAAAAAAATTCAGAACCTAACCTTCAGCTTCTCTTAGATCCTCTCTCAGCCTGATGAGCTCTTGCTTCTGTTCCTTCACCTGAAATTTCAGCAAAATTAGGATCTGTTTGGTTATGGAGATAACTGAATTCGAAAAAGTTGATGGAGATTTAGAAGAGACCTTTCGCTTCCAGCGAAGTGCATCGGATTCAGAAGAAGGCTGAGTGCTTTGATTTTGACTAAGGCGGAGCTTTGATCGGAGAAGAGAAATGGCGACGGCGAGCTTAATTGATTCGTCCTTTGAAGCTAAAGATTCTGAATTTCTGTCCATTTGCATTTCAGTTGTGGATATTTTTGTAAAGCGCGCTAGATTATGAATTTCAAAGCTAATGATACATGTAGAAATTTTTTTAAATATTTTGTACATGTATGCAGTGAAGAGTGAAGACAGCGTAGTTTTGATTTCATAATATATGGCACAACAACATTTTGACATATGTTACAATATCTTTTCAAAGAATAAACGATGTCGTCTTTGTTACTTGCTTAATTTTCGCATAAATATATAACATAGAAATGTTTTGTGCATAAACCCTAGAGTATAGGTGGGCTTAAGCTCAAATTTAATAAAACAATTAACATGATTTAAAACAACTTTAAGCCCAAACAAGCTTAAGCCTAAATATAATAATATAGCTTGAGCCCAAATATTATACAGCCCTCAAATACAATAATACCATCAACTTGATAAAAATGGTTCAATAGGACCTACACTCTTAAAAGCTAATTGAACGAAAAAGAGAGCCCAATTACATATATAAACCTTAACAACCTATTAACGATCTGCAACAATTATTTTTTTCTCATTGTCTCCTACAAAACGAATGATATCTTAGAGGAAATTATGAAAGCATTCATATGAGATTTTCTCTTAATGATTTAACTATTGTTAAAAAATTATAAATAACTAAACAGATTATCATACACTTTAAAAGTTATATTAAGGAAAAGCTAGCTAATTGTAGTTTGTAATAGTTCAAATAAAATTAATGGATTATTCATTAAATTCAGATCATCAGATCTTTTCCCTAGAACAAATGATTCTCATTATTAAATAAACTCTACTGAATTAATTTATTTGACTTAGATAACATCTTTGGAGTTTTCAGGAACATAATTTTTTTCTTGAGTAAATGATACGTTTGAAGTCAAGGACGACTAACATTATACTGAAAATAAAGATTGATCAAACATTTAACTAAATTAGATTTTTCAATTGACAAAAAGATTAAAGTGTTACATGGACAGCTAGCTGGTGATGTTGCACTCAGTATAATTTTCCTTCATTACGTTTTTAGTAAAACAAACGGACCACTTGAATTTTCTTCTTTTGTTGCCTTTGACTCTTCTCTGACAGCAAGAGGTCGACCAAACTGGGACCAATAAATTAAATTACTTGGAACTGACATGTAGAAAACTTCTCCAAATTCATTGTATCCGGACCCATTAATTGGTTGGTTCAAAATTGATGTATAATAGAAAACCTTAGAAGTCCCCTCATGATAAGTTGTAAACTTATTTGAAAACATAAAGGACTTGATCTTGAAACAAAGTGAAGAGGAAATAGCACAAAGTAATTTTTATTGTTGTCCGTAAATGAAGAAATTTATGTAATTCGAACAATAATTTCAATAAAGAAAAACCAATGAGAATCGTTTTTAATTAGACAATCACTAATTTCTATGGAAAAAACAATTTGACTTTAGAGTTGAGATGCATCTATCATTTTCTGTGGAAAAAAAAAAAAAATTCTTGAAATTCCAAATGAATTATCAATCAAACATCAAATTTTTACACCAAGTCACACGCAATTCCATGTAGACAATGACACAATTGCAAAAGCAAAATATCTGAAAAAGAGCTTACAAAATTACTAAAATTCAACATAATTTACTGTGAATATTATAAATAAATTAATCCATTTCATATTAATGGAGTCCTTACATACAACTCTCCTATTATAATATAAATTAGCTAAGGATTAAGATCATCGTAAATACTAATGAAAAATGTTGAAAGATCATATATTGGATAAATAATTACTTCTTTTAGTTCACTTAAGAGTCTACGGTGATTGCAACCCGCTAGCCCACTCTTAGAAATTTTGATCAGAAGTTGTAATCAAAGAAATTTCCTGCAACTTTCATGGACAAAAATTTCCTATAAGAATGTTGATCTCACTAACTTGGTGATTTAGGACATAAAAGCAACTAAAATGCCCTAGACTATAGGGTGAACATAAAAGCTAGCCGGCAATGTTACACTCACAATTTTTCTTCATTATGTTTTCAATAAAACAAAGGGACCAGTTGAATTTTCTTCTATGATCACGATGGTTTCACTTTATTTATTTTGTTGTAAATTGCATTTAATTAATAATTGAACAATACTTTTTATTTATTTTGAAAAATGGCGAAGAGAATGGATTTAAAGAACCATGATTTTTTTTTGAATGAATCAAGCTATTAAAATTCATCTTAACGAAAAATTTGACAAAATAACTAAGAGAATAATGGTTTCTAGTGACTAATTTGTTTTCTTGAGTAAATGATACGTTTGAAGTCAATGACAACTAACATCATACTAAAAATAGAGATTGATTAAACATTTAACTAAATCAATTGACAAAAAGATTAAAGTGTTACATGAATAGCTAGTTGGCGATGTTGCACTCAGTACAATTTTCCTTCATTATGTTTTTAGTAAAACAAATGGACCACTAGAATTTTCTTCTTTTGTTGCCCTTGACTCTTCTCTAACAGTAAGAGGTCGACCAAACTGGGACCAATAAATTAAATTACTTGGAACTGACATACAGAAAACTTCTACAAATTGATTGTATCCTAACCCATTAATTGGTTGGTTCAAAATTGATGTGTAACAGAAAACCTTAAAAGTCCCCTGATTATAAGTTGTAAACTTCTTTGAAAATATAAAGGATTTGATCTTGAAACAGAGTGAAGAGGAAATAGATTTTTATTATTGTCCGTAAACGAAGAAATTTATGTAATTCGAACAATAATTTCAAAAAAGAAAAACCAATGAGAATAGTCTTTAATTAGACAATCACTAATTTCTATGAAAAAAACAATTTGACTTTAGAGTTGAGACGCATGTATCATTTTCTGTGGAAAAAAACAATTCCTGAAATTCAAAACAAATTATCAATCAGGCATCAATTTTTTACACTAACTCACACGCAATTCCATGTAGACAATGACACAATTGCAAAAGCAAAATATCTGAAAAAGAGCTTATAAAATTACTAAAATTCAACATAATTTACTGTGAATATTATAAATAAATTAATCCATTTCATATTAATGGAATCCTTACATATAGCTCTCCTATTATAATATAAATTAGCTAAGGATTAAGATCATCATAAATACTAATGAAAAATGTTGAAAGATCATATATTGGATAAATAATTACTTCTTTTAGTTCACTTAAGAGTCTACGGTGATAGCAACCCGCTAGCCCACTCTTAGAAATTTTGATCAGAAGTTGTAATCAAAGAAATTTCCTGCAACTTTCATGGACAAAAATTTCCTATAAGAATGATGGCCCCTCTTGGTGATGTGGGACATAAAAGCAACTAAAAAACCCTAGACTATAAGGTGAACATAAAAGCTAGCTGGCAATGTTGCACTCACAATTTTCCTTCATTATGTTTTCAATAAAACAAAGGGACCAGTTGAATTTTCTTCTATGATCACGATGGTTTCACTTTATTTATTTTGTTGTAAATTGCATTTAATTAATAATTGAACAATGCTTTTTATTTATTTTTAAAAATGGCGAAGAGAATGGATTTAAAGAACCATGATTTTTTTTAATGAATCAAGCTATTAAAATTCATTTTAACGAAAAATTTGACTAAATAACTAAGAGAATAATAGTTTCTAGTGTCAAAATGTAAATGTTTTCAGATATTCAATTAAACTTTTATTTCTCTAAGAATAGGAATTTGAATAAGAATAAGAATTAATTAATTTCTAAAAGTATACTAATAATACCTTTTGATATGGTAGATTGGGATTACTAATAGGAAAGAGTATTTTTCCCAATTAAAAAAGAAAAGTTCATTAATAAGAGATATTGAATCCCATTTTATGTTGAAGTTAATTCATAATCTTTTAGAAGCTTCAAAATTTTGGAGTACAGTATTTGCATTATATATTTTATATGAATCCTTTTGTTATATATATTTTAAAACATAAATTCATGTGAATGTTATAAATTATGTGTAAAATTCTAAGGTTTAATTATCCCTATTTCTTGGCTTATAGTTCACTTCTTGCAAAGATACTCAACTAACCTACGAAATTTTGTTGTATATTTAATCCTCTATTAACTTATATTGGCCAAGAGAACTAGAGTCGTTCTATTCTACTTTGTTTTAGTGAGAAGATGATGAAGGTAATTATATATGACTATGATTTATCATTCATAATTTAAAGAATTTAAATTTAACAATTACAATTTAAATACATAAAAATAGAGTCAAGTAATTAATTGCTTTTTGATTATGAGAATAAAAAGTCTAAAGAAAAATATTAGTGATTGTTGTCATGATAAATAACACTTCAAACTTTTTAACTGATAAAAATCTTTCTTGAATTATTAATATTTAATTTGTCATTAGTTGAATTCATCATGTTGCCATGGCAGGTTATTATTCTTTCTCGGATTCATTTTGGGGTTGGCCGATGACTACTACTGCTTCATATGTAACACAATGTACCCAAATCCTCCACGTTTGGTTGGCGGCCATGCAGCAATGTTATGTGACCCTGGCTATAACCATTAAAAGTCGACTGTCATAAAGAATTTATTTAAAATCATAATTACTTTTTAAATTTAATCAGATTATATCTCAAAAATATTTATGGGATTTTTAATAAGTTATAAATAAATAAATAAAATATTAATAGATTTATTTGAATTACAATTTAGAGAAATAAGCATGTGAGATGAAAACTTCATAGAATAAATTCATTCGCTTTTGGAGCTGGCTACTCCTCCACACGCGTGTAAGTTGGCATCAAAATTTTATGTCTGATTGATAACATCTGTCGAGTTTTTCAGAAGATGAGTTTTCCAAAGTTGAAATTTTTAGAAGTGGGGCCTATATCTTTAAGCACTTTTAGAAATTTTGATCAAAAGTTGTAGTCAAGGAAATTTGCTGCGACTTTCATGCACAAAAATTTCCAAATCGATTTAGCCGTGATCGGTCAAAAAAATCTATCTTTGGTCGTTGTTAACAGTTAACGATAGCTATTACGATTGTCAAATCTGAC